GTCTGACTAAATTTCTTGAAGCATTCACAGTTTATTTGCGGACAGATTCTTCTCTTTACTTCTATATTTTGAAATATAATAAATAAGATATCTTCCAATCAAATATTATATTTATTTTAGATCTCAGTATCTTCATCCTGAAGAAATTAAAACAATTAAAATAAGAAAAAAGTGTGTTGGGGTTATTTTAGTCCGTTCACTCATTGAAGTTTTTTATCACTGATAACAAATTTGGCACTTAGAACAAAAGGCTGTTTTTGATATTCTTTTGTTCCGCATTTGTGAAATTGTATGGTTGTTGAACTGAAGATCAGGTTTAAAAACAAACTACTTAGATGGATGTTATAAACTTAGAAACAGAACATGTCGAGGAAGTGTATCGTATGTTGATAGAGTGCTCCCATGGTGCATCACAGTTCCAATGTGACACCAACATGAAACAAAGTTAACATCTTCCTGCTGTTCTGATGACGACTTGGATCCGACAAAGCAGATACAAATATATGACATCTAAGTTACTCCACATGGAGGGGCTCAGGTGGCCCAGTTGTCTAAAGTCAAGTCACAGTGAGCTGTTGAGTCAGTTTCACCCCTTGGGCTGACTATCAGTTTGAGTCTTCATGGATATTACTCAAGTGGTGTAGGTCTCTATTATATGGTCTCTGGTCTCATGCCTGCATCACTTGAGGCTATCCTCCACATGTTACTGACATGCCAGGACATACCATCTGGTGTACACCAGGCTCATTCACTCGCTATTCCACATGCAGAAATACTTGCAGAATTACATCGCTACTTGTTGGCAGATTTATTTGCAAAATGTAATACTTGCACATTTGCAGATTTACAGAGTAATTAGCAGATAGGCTTGCAGAAGTACCTACTCCTCCTTCTTTCTCCCCACCACCACCACCACCCCCTCCACCCACGCCTCCGGGGCGGTGAGGTAGCCTAGTGGTTAAAGCTTTCACTTGTCACACCAAAGACCCGGGTTCGATTCCATACATGGGCATAATGTGTGAAGCCCATTTCTGGTGTTCCCCGTCTTGATATTGCTGGAATATTGCTAAAAGGGGCATAAAACCCCTCACTCACTCACTCACTCACTCACTCACTCACTCACTCACTCACTCACTCACTCACTCACTCACTCACTCACTCACTCACTCACTCACTCACTCACTCACTCTTCCTCCTATTCCCATCATCAGGCTGGTGGTACCAAAGCAGTAAGTTTTAACAATGTACCATCAAACAAGCTCAGTCACAAGTAACCAGCCCTAATTGGTCTGGTTTTCAGATCAATGATTGAGTCTAAGATAGACAGGCTAATCACACTATGATGCTAATAAATACAAGGGGGAAGAGGATTACAGTGTATCTTGATCACATCAGGGACCTGTCTGGCAACACTGATTGGATTACAGTGTAGTTTGGGCCTGAACTATGGAGGGGGTGGCGAAGGAAGCATTGGATGCAGGTCAGGGATGAAAATGATGTCAATATGAAATATTGATAGATATCAATTTCTTCCTTTGGTGTAGTCACTAGGGAGATTCATGGGAGATGAAGTCCCCAGTACCTAAGGTTTGTTTTCAGAGCTCAATCGGTAATTGGCTGATTACTATGTGTGATATGATTTCTATAGTTTCTTTCCCTCTGGCTTGTTGCCGCTTTAGGATCTAGAAGATAAGGTCTCCAGTGCTTTATGTGTGTGTTTGCAGTGCCCAATGTGTGTTTCCAGTTGCCTGGTGTGTGTTTATCCCTTGTCCAGGTGTGTGTTTATCCCTTGTCCAGGTGTGTGTTTATCCCTTGTCCAGGTGTGTGTTTATCCCTTGTCCACCTTGTCCAGGTGTGTGTTTATCCCTTGTCCAGGTGTGTGTTTATCCCTTGTCCAGGTGTGTTTATCCCTTGTTCAGGTGTGTGTTTATCCCTTATCCAGGTGTGTGTTTATCCCTTGTCCAGGTGTGTGTTTATCCCTTGTCCAGGTGTGTTTATCCCTTGTCCAGGTGTGTGTTTATCCCTTGTCCAGGTGTGTGTTTATCCCTTGTTCAGGTGTGTGTTTATCCCTTGTCCAGGTGTGTGTTTATCCCTTGTCCAGGTGTGTGTTTATCCCTTGTCCAGGTGTGTGTTTATCCCTTGTCCAGGTGTGTGTTTATCCCTTGTCCAGGGTGTGTGTTTATCCCTTGTCCAGGTGTGTGTTTATCCCTTGTTCAGGTGTGTGTTTATCCCTTGTCCAGGTGTGTGTTTATCCCTTGTCCAGGTGTGTGTTTATCCCTTGTCCAGTGTGTGTTTATCCCTTGTCCAGGTGTGTGTTTATCCCTTGTCCAGGTGTGTGTTTATCCCTTGTCCAGGTGTGTGTTTATCCCTTGTCCAGGTGTGTTTATCCCTTGTCCAGGTGTGTATTGTTTATCCCTTGTCCAGGTGTGTTTATCCCTTGTCCAGGTGTGTGTTTATCCCTTGTCCAGGTGTGTGTTTATCCCTTGTTCAGGTGTGTGTTTATCCCTTTGTCCTTGTCCAGGTGTGTGTTTATCCCTTGTCCAGGTGTGTGTTTATCCCTTGTCCAGGTGTGTTTATCCCTTGTCCAGGTGTGTGTTTATCCCTTGTCCAGGTGTGTGTTTATCCCTTGTCCAGGTGTGTGTTTATCCCTTGTCCAGGTGTGTGTTTATCCCTTGTCCAGGTGTGTGTTTATCCCTTGTCCAGGTGTGTGTTTATCCCTTGTCCAGGTGTGTGTTTATCCCTTGTTCAGGTGTGTGTTTATCCCTTGTCCAGGTGTGTGTTTATCCCTTGTCCAGGTGTGTGTTTATCCCTTGTCCAGGTGTGTGTTTATCCCTTGTCCAGGTGTGTTTATCCCTTGTCCAGGTGTGTGTTTTTCCCTTGTCCAGGTGTGTGTTTATCCCTTGTCCAGGTGTGTGTTTATCCCTTGTCCAGGTGTGTGTTTATCCCTTGTCCAGGTGTGTGTTTATCCCTTGTCCAGGTGTGTGTTTATCCCTTGTCCAGGTGTGTGTTTATCCCTTGTCCAGGTGTGTTTATCCCTTGTCCAGGTGTGTGTTTATCCCTTGTCCAGGTGTGTGTTTATCCCTTGTCCAGGTGTGTGTTTATCCCTTGTCCAGGTGTGTGTTTATCCCTTGTCCAGGTGTGTGTTTATCCCTTGTCCAGGTGTGTGTTTATCCCCTTGTCCAGGTGTGTGTTTATCCCTTGTCCAGGTGTGTGTTTATCCCTTGTCCAGGTGTGTGTTTATCCCTTGTCCAGGTGTGTGTTTATCCCTTGTCCAGGTGTGTGTTTATCCCTTGTCCAGGTGTGTGTTTATCCCTTGTCCAGGTGTGTGTTTTTCCCTTGTCCAGGTTTTGTGTCTGAAGAAGGCATGTATTTCCCCAAACTGTGTGTAATTGTGTCGTGCTGACAATGCATGGTTGTGTGTAGACTGAGGAAATGGTAGTGAAAGGTCTGTTTCTTGCAAGTACTTACAGACATTTTTCATTGTTTTATTCACCAGTCCAAGGTTAACGGATCAATGATGTAAGCTTGAACTTTAATAGGAAGGTAGAGGGGTGGCCTAGTCATTAAAGCATTCATTCATCATGTCAGCGACAGTGTTTGATTCCCCTTGTGGGTCAATCTGGAGCCCCCTGACGTGATATTGCTGTTGTATTCCTGAAAACAGCATAAAATCCAATTCACTCGCTTCAAGATACAAGATAAGTTAATGGTACATGTTACAAAATTATTAAGAGGACTCTTACCATATCTTATAACATTCTTCTTTAACAAAACCCGTGAAGGTCCGGATTAGAATGTACCTTCAGTAACACTTGCTTGTCGTAAGAGGCGACTAAAGGGATCGGGTGGTCAGGCTCGCTGGCTTGGTTGACACATGTCACGAGTTCCCAATTGCGGAGATCTATGCTCATGCTGTTGATCACTGGATTGTCTGGTCCAGACTCGATTATTTATAGACCAGCGCCATATAGCTGGAATATTGCTGAGTGCGGCGTAAAACTAACCTCACTCACTCTTCTTTAACAATATGTTAGTGTGCATGTACTATGTGGAAAACTGTTTTAAATCAGTATCTAGAAATAACCCTTCTGATTCACTGAGCAATGGTTTTGTAACTCAGTGGTATCATTATGTACATATCTTATATCGCGAAGGTTGTTTAGATAACCTTGTTAGGTCACATGCCCAATTGTTTAGACACAAAGACATTGATTTTATAGCCAGATATTTTCAGTACTTGGTTAAAGCTATGCTGAATTGACATTTCCTTTTGATTTTCTGTCTGATGTTATCCAAAACCTGGGTTATTTCAGTTGGAAAGTTACTGAAAGAGGAATAAGGTTGATTTGTATGTAGGTCAGTGATTTCAACATAACTTTTATAAAGTATATTTCAATCATGCAAAATTTAAAAGAATAATGAGTAAGGTTATTCTGAATCAAGATAATTTTCTTAACGTGATATTTATCTAAAGAAATAATTACAATACTGATCATCACTAAAGTCAAAATTATTATCACCTGACACATTTTGTTTCCAAACACGTTTTGATTCTGTTTTTTTTTCAAAAAATCAGTCTTTTATTCTCTAAAGATTGCCTCTGTAATCATGTTCTTGACAAGAAAAATCCTGCCTAATGTGAATTTCAAATGTGAAGGTGACAAGTGGCTTAGAAACAAACACTTGAAGTGGTAACTTGAATAACGACAGAAAGGACGTATTTAGTGAACATTGTCTGATCTGTGCTAAATGCAGAGATGGTCTTCTGATGTGCACTGAAAGACGAATCACGTGAATCACAACATGTTGTTAGCTGAAAGTTCACCCCAAAAAACATGCTTACCATGTGTGCCAGAGGAATCCAAAATTTACCTTGACATATCTGATGTGAGTTATATAATTCAACAAAGCGTGATCTACATAAAGCGTTCAACATTTCCTTTGACAGTGGTGTGAGAGGTTAGTTTGTGTAAGTTATAAAAGACTGTTGTTTGTCTCAGGTGCGGTGTATGTGTGCACTGAGGATGCGTTTCCGAACAAGAGGCTTCACCAGGTGATCCAGCACTTCACGAGGAAGTGGTCTCCGCCACGACTGCAGCAGGATCTCGCTAATCTGGGAGATAACATCTTCGTGGAGCATGTGGCTGAACATGTAGGTCAAGGCTTATCTTCTTCACTATCACATAAACAAGAGTTCTTAGCTGTTCTTACCCTCGTGCAAAATCTCCAGAAAAAACAAATCCAGAGATTATGTTGTTAGGAAATCTTTGTTAGGTCTTATGATCATCTATAGTTCAATATCAGTTATTCCGTGAAGTTACATCGAACAAACTTGTTAGTTGTCAAAAATATAACACACATATTTGCATGTGATGACAGAGGAACATGAAGTGTGAGTTCACGATAAGTCTTTTACTTGTGACTTAAACATGGGACGATTTTTATTAAGCTTGGAACTTAGCGTAACCGTTTTAAAACTGGTGAAGATCTGGGTCATACCTGGTCTTCAACAACCCATGTTTGTCGAAAGAGGTGGGATCGGGTGTCAGGCTCGCTGACTTGTTTGATGCTCGTCATCATATCCCAGCTTGGTAGCCGATGCTCATCATGTCAACCACTGGATTGTTTACAAACCACTGTCATATAGCTGGAATATTATTAACTTTACATGTGCAAAGCATTGTTTCTCTGGTGTGTAATCAAGTCTTGAACAAACAAACCAGTGATGTATAATCTTAGCAATATTCCACACTTTGACGCACAGTCAACCGAGTCACCAAGTCTGACCACCCGATCCTGTAAGAGGCCTCCTCAGAACAGCATGAGTTGCTGAACCAGGAATCACTATGGTGATGAGGCTATGTTTCAACCACATCAAAGTATTCTCTTTGAATGTAAAATATTGTTTTCTCTTGATAAAGATTTATTAGGCTGCAAAAAATATTAAGGTTTTCATGGGTACGTTTTCCACAGCGTCAGGAGGGTTATTGTTAGTTTTTATTGGGAAAACCAAGTTATGCGGAAGACTGTTTATTTTATTCCACATAGCACAACTAGGCATTGAATACAACTATACATTGAACCTTCTACAACTTCAGTCATGAAACTTGTCATTTATTGGATGGCAGAGTATGCAGGAAATATATTATTTATTTGCAGCAAAAATGGCTGACTTCAGGGTTTGAATTTATCGGTATGCAACCCAAAATGTTCCCATTTTTCCCTTGTGTCTTACGGTATGTATTATCTGGCCTTGGGCTGTATTACAGTACACTAAGTCTTATTCCTACATCTATACATGTTTAATGTTTGTCTATGTACCAGGAGGGCCTAATGTTCTGTGTCCACAAGAAGATCCCAATCCTCCTGGCCAAGGGAATGGTGAAGTTGGTGATCATAGACTCAGTCGCTGCTCTCTTCCGCTGTGAATACGGCCAGGGGGAGACAGTGAAGCGGGCTAAGCACATGGCATCCTTCGCAGCCCACTTGCACAAGCTGGGACATCAGCACAACGTTCCCATTGTCTGCGTCAATCAGGTAGGACATATCTAGGTAGAAAATAGGCATCCTCCCACTCGCAGTCGTAACTTAATGTGGTACCTTTCGTAGTCGTAACTTGCCATTTGCAGCTTTTATATACCCAAGTAGTTGTTTGCAGTTCGTAGTTGTTGTTTACAACGTAGGTGTATTTGATATTTGGTGGTGGTGTGCGGCCTTGTGCATAGAGCCCAGGTCACGAATCACTTGAAGTTAAGCATCATCAGTCACGGAGAGTCCTTGGATGGGTGAACCTGTTTGGCAGCTTGACTCCTGAGAGTTTCTATGACTTCAGTCCTGCTCCACAATAAAGCACATTTGATTCATGTGGTCTCACCCAAGGCAAGTGAGTTTGTTCAAAATTGCCTCTGTTCACGGAGAAGTGAATGGGTACCTGGTGGGATAAGTCATGTGACTGTTAACCTTGTAGCACCTAACAGGCAGCTTGGGTTAACCAGGGTAGTAATGTCCTAACGCTTTCATCATGTACACGTTCATGGATACAGGGCGCTTTAGAAATGTCCATGACTATTTGTGGTCGTAACTTGCCTTTTGTACTTGTTATTTATCATTTGTAGTCATAACTTGCAATTCGTTGTTTATTGACAATAGATTTGGAGTTCTTTTTGTTTTTGTATAAATGTTTAGTTTTTAGGCACATGCAGAATTGCTAGAACCATTCGTTCTGATGGCGCAGATACGAAGTATGTCTTTGTCATGCCTCATGATGAACATTATCTGAAGTCAAAGTCATAAAGAAGATGAAACCTGTCACATCATACAGATGTTTATGGAAACAAGAAATAGGACCACTAAAGCAGCCTAACTTCAACTCTTCTTTTGACTCTGAAAATGAAAAAGATAATGGGATAGAAACATAAAAAAAAATTCCTTTTCAGGTTGACAATTGCATAACCTTCATACCTTGACATTGAAGGTCGGCCAAATAATGTTTGTGTATATTTTTGTATTGTTTCTCGTATAGTTCTTGACAATGCCATATAATTATTTTAACGTGGGTTAGCACCCTTTGGTAGTTACTGATGTTTCAGACTTTGACAGGTGTTTGAATCTGTCAGTGGAAATCCCTAGCTTAATTGGAGCCCTGTAATGTCTGTCTCAATGTAGTCTTTCGCACAGTCTCTGAAACAAATTCTTTCCCACCATCTCAGTCCTGTAGAAAAGCTGTAGCTCTGATTGAAGCAAATCTAGATTTACCACAGAGTCAGGAACTTGAAACTCCCTTCCCATTGGGGCTTCATTTCAGTTTAAATGTAGCTGCTTGTCTAGTCACAGAGCTTAGTTCCACTTGTTTGAATTAAAGCAAGTGTTGTATTGTTGAGACATGCTGAGATTTACGTTTAAATCATGGAACCTGCATGTGCATTAGTTGTGGTATGGTTGTTGTTTAACGCCGCACTCATGATCAGCAGTATTCCAGCTATATGGCAGCTGTAAATAATCGAGTCTAGACCAGACTATGCAGTGATCAACAGCATGAGCATTGATCTATGAAATTGGGATATGATGACCTGTGTCAACCTAGTCAGTGAGACTGACCACCCAATCCTGTTAGTCGCCTCTTACAACAAGCATGGGTTACTGAAGATCAGTTCTTAACCAGATCTTCACGTGTTATCATCAAAAGAAACTCTGTGCGTGTGTTGTAGGGCTGTGTAGGACACTTGTTAACCCCATGGCTTGTTATAAATGGACTCAAGTCTGTTTTCAAGGACTCAAGTATCTGAGGTAAACCAACCAACTTTTGATGATATATGAAATGGGGCGGTGGGGTAGCCTAGTGGTTGAAGTGTTGGCTCGTTACGCCGAAGACCCCGATTCGAATCCCCACATGGGTACAATGTGTGAAGCCCATTTCTGGTGTCCCCCGCCGTAATATTGCTGGAATATTGCTAAAAGCTGCGTAAAACCAAACTCAGTCTGTCAGTCAGTGATATGTGAAGACAATAGGATGATATGAGACAGGCCTTTGGGCAAAACTACCAGTCACTGGGGAATGGATGAAAATCTGTATCTTTTGAATTTCTGTTTCTTTAATCTTAAAGAGTTCGGTTCAGTTTTCGTTTTATTTTTCATGTTGATGTTCAGCAGAGACTACAGAAAGATTCAGCTGTCCTTGTTCATCTGTTTAATTATCAAACACATGCAGACTAGTTTCATTTTTGTAGACATTTGCCCTTTAAGAAAGGTTTACAAGCCATCTATTTGTAGTGTGAATGAGTCACCCTGTCTATCAAGTCCTGTCCTAGCTAGCCTACAGGTGTCATTACAGTTTGCTGTTGTTGTGGGTGTTCCAACAACCATCTTGATGGCCAGGCCATGCACTGGTGTGCAGTGAAAGCTGTGTCATCCAGCTGTAGGCAGATAGGTGCACTTGTCCAGGAAATGTCACCAGTCTGAAGACCGACCTTGACATATACTTCTTGATACCTGTCTTTATATCACTAGTGTGAAAACAATATGGAAGATTGAAGGTTTTACAGCAACTATCTGTACTTTATAGACATTGAAGTTGTCTGAAGTTATAAATTACCAGTAGACTATTTTCAGGGTTAGACTTTAAGGAGGGTCATTCGGTAAACAAGGTTCTTTGTTGTAGGATTGGAACATGGGAAGCCTTTTAGATAATACCTTAATATTATGATATCTCTCTCTCTCGATAACTTCCAAAGTTACCCTCTTTCATAAACTGAATTTGTTTTTAAATTTAATCAGAGTGTTTTGTCAAGATGCCAAAATACAGGACGGACGTAAAATGAAAAATGGATAAAACATTGTCAAAGAGGCCATGTTAATTTTGAAACTAAAACTATTTTATATCAATAATTTGCAGGGGACAAATTAGCAACAGAGAAATAAACAAAAGTCAACCATTGTCTGTTTTCTGTGTGAAAATCTCCCAGAGTTTGTTAGTTTGTTGCAGTTGTTATTGACGTGTCATGGAAACTGGCACAACACATTTGAAATGACAAGGGGAAGTGTTGGGAACTCATCAAGTTAACAGTTGGAAGCCTAGGCTTTCAGCAGCAACTGGTCACACTTGATAATGGGTTGCCGTGGGTGATACCATGACATCATAGAACAATGACATCATAAACATTACCAAGGTAACAAGGGTGATATTCACAGAGGCTTTAGGCTCAAGTTAGTCATTCTGTAAAATAGTAAACTGAAAAATAAACAGATGTCACCTCAGTGAAACTGTGACATTTTGTGGTTGTGTCTTAGTGATTAGATGTTGTCTAGTGGCTGCAACTGGTGTCTTAGTTGGCACAGTGGTCCAATAGATCATTAACTCCTGGACAGTCATTAAAATTCCTTTTCCAAAGCCTGGAATAGTTTTGTAAAATACAAAATTGTTATAAAGTCATGAAAAGTTCTGTGAAAAATGTTTATTGTGATTATAGGTTTCTGGTGGTAAACCAGCCACAGGAAGATATATAAAACTAAACCATTGACATTCTGTTATTCTGAGTTACCCCACCCCATGAACCCTGTGAGACCAATATAGTGGTAACCAGCCTTAAAAGTTATGGATTTGTCAGGGTAGTAGTGTATGAACCCCAGAAGACAAATATTTAGGTAGCCAACCCCCAAAGTCATGAAATATGTCTAGGTAATAGTATATGAACCCTGTAAGACCAATATACTGGTTGCCAGTGCTAAAAGTCATGGAATTTGTCAGTATAATAGTATATGAACCATGTAATACCTATATAGGTAACCAGCCCTTACAATTATGGAATTTGTCAGGGTAATAGTTTATGAACCCTGTAAGACCATAGTGGATGTCACCTGTTGTAAGGGTGGAATTTCATTTCACCAACGCCTAGTTCTCTCTATAGCAACCCAGAACCTCAACACAAATCGTTTCACCTGCAATATATGCATCAACTGATCTCTAACTACTCCAACAGAAACAGCACCTGGTAAATCTGTGTTTGAATTCACTGGGGTACAGCTGTTGAGAATTGATCAATATTAAACTGTCAACATTGGGATTATGACATGGATGCCTTGACTTTGATATATACATGTATTTTGTACTTCCTTGGTGTCTATAATACCACTATATGAGAGAGTGTTGGAAAAATTGGGGTTTACCTATACTGAATAATTTCTTATCCATCTCACTTCTTACATATGCCATGTAGGTTGTAGTTTTGTTTTGTGTTTTCCATCAAAGAAGTTGTACACCAGGATGCTGCTTAATTCAGAACAGTGTAAAAAAAAACCCCACAGTCGACAGTAATCTGACGGAAAAATTTTTTTCCACCATCTTGCCTAATCCGATTCCAAGCAGGTGCTCCTCCCAACCTAAGCTCGTTGTTATTGTAAGAATCCACGTTCATTAAGTTTTGTTTGTATTTTCCAGGTGTCTGCTAACCTGTCATCAAACAGCAGCCAGAGCTCTGTCCTCCCAGCTCTGGGATTGTCCTGGTCCAATCAGATCACGTGTCGTCTGATGCTGCGTCGGACCCGCCAGAAGGTGGCCCTACCTGTGCAGACAGTCGGTGGGGGCCGGGAGAACATCGAGTGTGCAGTGAGGATGTTAGAAGTTATGTTTGCCCCTCATCTTCCACCTGGAGCCTGTGCTTTTGTTGTTGACCATCAGGGCGTCTCTGGGCTGGAGTAGGGACAGTGTGTCGCTTGTGTGTGCGTGATCATTTACCGTAGAGAGTGTATAAAGGTCACTAACGTCCACTTGTATTGACGGAGTTGTGGTGTGTCAGTGCTGGTGTAAGGGTCTCTGAAGTGCTTACTGCAAATACATGTATTAAAAACCTTGGCTCAATCATTGTCTTTTTTACCTATTCTTTTTGAATGGCTTTTTTATATTTAAACCTTAAAATAACATTGCAAGCATTTTAAACAAAACATGAAACAGAATTTGACATTTAAAGTTAAGTAAAACAGTAGGTAGTTTTGACAATTTGAGTGAGAGACTGAGTATGGTTTTATTCCACTTTTAGCAATATTCCAGCAATATCACGGTGGGGACACCAGAATGGGCCTTACATCGACAATTTGAATAACCCTTCCATGCATATGAAAGTACTGCCTGCTCTGCTGAAAGGAAACATGCATCCAACTGTTTAAGTTTGGCTGAACAGCTAGAACAATGTTTATATTTATTTTTTTTAAGCCCATGGAATAATAAATATATCCCTTTGCACAAACACCTGGTGTTATCACAGATTTTCAGTGATCCACTCATATATTTTAACCACATTTTTGTCTTTTATGCCCAGTGGAATCTGTTCCAGCAGATAATCAATAATTCCCTGGCTTTGATGTTTTGTCACATACATGTATTCCCAGTGCTGGTAACAAGAAAACACACAGCTTCTGCTGATGCAATGACGTCTTTGTTGATGCTGGGTCAACATACCCACTGACTTGGATCATTGCTCATTTAAACAATTACTGGATTGTCTAATCGAGACTTGGTTATTTACAGTCATAGAGCTGGAGTATTGCTAGGTATGGCATCAAACAACAAGTACACTCTACGTTAAGGCAGGTAGTTTCCATCCACAGTAGTGATTGTGCTCATAATATCAACCTCTAGTCTGATCAAGGTTCATTGATTCATTGGCTTATCATGGCCAGGTTTGGTACAATGTGTGAAGCCAATTTGATGTGTCTGAAAGGCATGATATTCAGGGAAAGAAACCTTTCAAAATTTCCCACGGGTTCGATTCCCCACATGGGTACAATATGTGAAACCCATTTCTGGCCCCACCGTGATATTGCTGGAATATTGCTAAAAGCGGGGTAAAACTAAACTCACTCACTCATAATTCTAGCCAACTCTTCACTTTGTACCATAACCGATTAATTCAGTACACACAACAAATACTTGAACATACATATTCCGACAGATATCGCATATGCAAGATATGAGCCATATGTAAATGTGAGTACAATGTGGAATACAGTGTTGTACATCATGTCACCTTGCTGTGACAGGGCTATTGTTGATGTGTTTAACCTGAGTGTGTACATGAGTGGGGCAGACATAGGCTCACAGTATTCTCATGTTAATGACTGGATTGGGAAGTATTATGTGGTTGTGGTATCCTCAGACTTGGAGTATGTTGATGTGAAATATTACAAGCACTTTGTACAATTGAACACTGGCTGCGAGACATGACAGGTATGTTTAACCTGTCATGTAGGCCACAGACAACATGTATGTGTATTGACAGGACGTTGACCCCAGGTGTATTCATAACAACCACAGTAAGGAGGATGACCTTTACAGTGAAGGGGATTAGAAGTAGTTTGACTGTGTCCAGTTAGAGCTACCGCATTCGCTGTAATAAGGGCGGAACTTAGAAAATTGACATAGTGGTTGTGAATTAAAATCATACACACTGGTCGAATAAAGTTTTACAGCTGTTCAATTGTAGCTGCTGTATTCCCTGTAATAAGGGCGGCACTTAGAAAACTGACATAGTGGTTGTGAATTAAAATCATACACACTGGTCGCATAAAGTTTTACAGCTGTTCAATTATAGCTGCTGTATTCCCCAAAATAAGTGCCATTACTTCTTGGAAACAAAAAAGGTGTCAATTAAAATCATGCACATGTTAAATTTGTTTTCAGAGCTTGGGTGCTTGTGAACAAGGTTTTGGGCAAAAGTCACTCTGCATTTATCCCTTCTGCGATTCTTTATATATCTGTTCTGTTTTCTGCTAAAAAATGTATAATACTGTATACACAAGACTGTTAGATACATACAAAAGAAACTTTATGCTGCAGTACCGTAATGACACACACAGCATTGTTTAGTCAGTAAATGAATAGTGCCATCATTAGTTAAACATCGTATCAGTTTGTTTGAGCAAACCGTTCTCATCTACAAAACCATCTAAAAATGTGTCTTAATTCACGTAAGAGATTGGCGTACACTAGTCAAAAAGGCGTTAAGGACCATCTGATTTGTTCACATAATGACAGGTTAATTATTTCTTCCATCCAACATGGGTACATTGTCTGAAGCCAATTTCTGGTGTCCCCCGGCGTAAAACCAATCTCATTCACTCACTCACTCACTTTCTTACATAGCAGATTGACTGTAGTAATACTGAAAATTATTATGTTAATTCTTTTGAGTACTACATTTGTGTATATTCACAAGATGGACATGAGTTTTGTTTAATGTATACTGTTGTTATTGAGAAATAAAATTAACTGTTATGTGTGGGGGGTTTTTGTTGGTAGGAAATCAATTCTCCCAGGACTGATGTCATGACTGGGGGACTCAAGGCCACTTACTTGAAGTGTGGTTTGACTTATATCAAGAAAATGTTAGATGCTTCGTAAGCTTTTTTGCTCATGTTTAATGCCAAACTCGACCCTATTCCAGCTTTATGAAATGTAACAGCATCTTAACACAAGGGTAATAATCTCTGTTTTATGAGATGTCATTCTTATAATTAACAGGGGGCGGTGGGGTAGCCCAGTGGTTAAAGTGTTCCCTCGTCACACTGAAGACCCGGGTTCGATTCCCTACATGAGTAAAATGTGTGAAGCCCATTTCTGGTGGCCCCCGCCGTGATGTTGCTGGAATATTGCTAAAAGCGGCGTAAAACTATACTCACTCACTCACTCGCTAACTATAATTAGCAAATTTTAAGACTGTTTCCATTCACTAAAGTAAATGGTTTGTAGTCATATTTGTTTTACATAGGCACTAATACCTTAGGAATCCCCACTTCTAAATTTGGACAAAATGCCAAGCAATGATGTTTTCAGCATATCACACTTATAGCAAGTATTTTGCACCAGGTAACCTCATTTACATATTTATCACATTGTGATGGCAAGTTTATCACACTGACTGTATCACATAACACTATTCATAACAGCAGTGTTTCCCTGGACGCCACATGGTGACACCTATCCACATACACATCTGGAATTCACAAATAGTTTCCATGTCCTGTCCTGTGAGACACAAGTATTATAGTGAATCAGTAAATTACTCAAAATGTTTTATTGTATGCAACGCTGAAACCGTCATCTTAGCATGCTTAAAGTTTCCGACTATGTGAAATGATTTCTATGTATTAAACATACCGCGTATCAACAGCTTGCGAGCCCACATTCATGCCTTTGGCCCAAAACTGTATTACTGCAAGTGCTCTGGACTTAAAATCTCTGATTATATGATACAGTTATAAGATCAAATATTGTTGAATATTATCTGAATATTATATTACGACAAACATTAACCTAACAGAATTCCATATATCATATATCTATTGTGGACATGAATAACCTGTTATTCTACTAAGTAATATAGCACTCAAAAGAAGTAAAAGAAAATCTGATTTTTTCATATGACTGGTTAATACCTCATGCCATTGGGTGTTCTCAAACTTGTTTTGAGTAGTATAAGTAATATTCCATACCCTATAAAGCAAGAATGCTTTGTCTGTATATATTGATGCGTCCCACTTTCGTGAGCGTGTCCATCATTCACAGCATTCACCCAGTACAAAGTGCTGACTCAGCAGATGCTGACTGCTGGAGTACAGGTGTAAGCATGTCGGTCATGTCTATTCTACTACTGTATTCAGAACAGGTTTCCTTTGATGTACACCTGGCCAACAGGTAATCCAGGTGGACGGCTTGTTGGGGCAGTCTCTGGTCAGGGTAATAGAGTTATGTCATGTATCCACATTTCAAGGAGGGTAAATGTTTGCGGAGTATTGTTGTGCTGTTTTAATTCAGTACATTTAGGAAAAGGCAATGTTTAAGGCTGTCATGTATGCCTAGATCAGCAATTATGTCCATAACTGAGACGCTTGATGATTCATGACCTTTTACCTTCAGTGCAGATTACATGGCTTCTTGACAATATTGAGAGTTTGTTGAATGTCTTCATTGGATTGGAGACCAAATCCATGTTAAGTGAAAACCAGTGCCTGAAAACTATATTTTTGTGTTGAGAATTCTTATTCCTGACCTTGGAAACCAAGAAATATAACTACCGGTACATCTAAATTTCAGTGTGACAAAAACTCTGATATATATTCTAAATATATTAGTCTGGTATTGACAAGCTCTTGAATATATGGGCGGTGGGGTAGCCTAGTGGTTAAAGCGTTGGCTCGTCACGCCGAAGCCCCGGGTTTCGATTCCCCACATTGGCACAATGTGTGAAGCCCATTTCTGGTGTCCCCCGCCCTGATGTTGCTGGAATATTGCTAAAAGCGGCGTAAAACTAAACTCAGTCAGTCAGTCTTGAATATATTTAGATGATTTGGCTATATGTCATCTTGAACTCTCATTTAAACTTAAAACTGTCAACTTTGCAGGTCATCATGTGTAAATGAATCTAGCCCAGCTCTCTCACTTCAGTCACACCGGTTCTCATGCCTCAAGTGCACCGGTTCTGCTGCTTCTAGCACACCGGTTCTCAAGTGCACCAGCTCTCCTGTTTGAAGCTCACCAGCTCTCCTCCTTGTAACACAGAAGTTCGATACCTCACCTTTGAGAATGCATATATGAATCCATAATAGTCACCCTCATGTTTAAAGTCAGACTAAACTCACTCACTCACTCAAAGTCAGAATCACAAAATCAGCTACATTGCAGGTGTCACCAAGTAGCCACCGGCCCAACAAGCAGCATCTCCGAGTGGCAACCTGGCTGTGTTCTGTGTCGTCATACCCTGACAGGATGATAACATCTGACTCTGCATCATCACAGCGTCCTTTGCTTGTCATGAGAGGTGACAGTAACAGATTGTTGATCAAAACCACTTTACTATGATCTCA